CATTTACATTATCAGCTATCAAATCATGGCTTACTGCCTCTGTATAACGAACGGCAAAGAATAAAACATGAGACCAAACACAAAACAAGAAAAACGGACAACAATTATTTACTTCCACAATTAAATCATGTAAAGAATCTGTTAAATTATGAAGTTACGGAGTAGCAGGTGAAAACTTACATATGATGTGCTCTCAAAAGAAAAAATTAGCATATGCATGGAACAATCTGTTGCTAAGCCAAACAATGATCTGCAATGTAAGAATAAAAATGAGAATCAAAAGTGGATAAAAGTTAATATTATGAGACAAAAGTTTAAATAAGTTAGAACGGACTTAATAATATTGAAGTTTTCCAGAATGTTGAAGTCCTACTTTTCATGCACTAATGTTGAAGAAAAGTAGCTTTATTGTCTAACACTCACTATTTTAGCCTATATTTGTTCATATAAAATATATATAAATATATATATATATATATATATATATACACTTACGTAATATACTATGCATTCATGGGTATGTTTTCCCAAATTCCTTCATGATGATCGTCTCGTATGGCATGGACATCGTCCGCTTCATCTTCTTCGTTTATTACAGACAACCTTGGTGATAATGTAGGAAATTCATACATATCAAGACTTGGCTCATCAGTATCATCAACAAGTTGTCGTTTACCCTGGAGTACCACCGACCAATGTTGGTCACTCGGATCAGAAACATAAAAGACTTGTTTTGCTTGGCATGCCATGACAAACGGTTCATTTTTATAACCCTCTCTACTGAAATCAACCAATATGACACCCAAATCGTCCACCCTCACACCATTATTACCATCAACCCATTTACATTTAAAAACAGGCACGGTAAACTTAATGTAACTAATTTCCCATATCTCATCAATAACCCCATAATAAGAACCAGCGGCTAACAGTGGATTTTTGTCTTTTGAACTAGAGAAATGCATTGACTCAGCCACAACAGAAACACCACTATTTTGCGTAGTACTCTTATCATCTCTTTCTTTCATGCAGAAAGAGTACCCATTGATGTCATATCCACGCCAACATCTAACATCAAAATTA